AATTGAAGTAGAAATATTATGTAATTGTAACTTTATTATTTTAAAAACTTCATTAAGTGTAATTTTAACAAATCAGTAAATTTTAACCTTCAATATTATAGTAATGCAGTACCAACTGACTCTCATGTATATTTTACAGCATTAGTTGAAAGATTTTATTTTCCTTGAGAAAATTTGCTATGTACTGTACCTGATATATATCCAAAATAATCGATATTGAATGGTAATCGCATCGAATCGCAAGCTTGTGAATGAGAATCGAATGAATCGAATCGTGAAATTTGTGTCAAAACCCAGCCCTACTGTTTATTTCACAGTAGATTAATATATTGGCTAGTACTATTTCTCATTATTTGTGTGTCACACAGAGCATTCCATGCAATAAAGTATGGGATGTGTGTCAAACTATTTATTTATTTTTTTTGGCGAAGTGATATTTGTTGTTTACAGTTGCAACATTGCAAGGAGAATTTTCTATGGAATCTCAATGATTATTGGACATATTTTAATATTTCAACGTGGCTCATCCAGTCAATTGAATCTTAACTATCCATTTTATAATATTAGTTTTATAGTTTTGAATCTTTTGTTTTTAACTCAGGTGACATAATACACACGTTTTTTTTCACTCAGTTACATTGACTAAGTATGAATAATCTGATATTTTAGGTTTTTCCAGTAAATTTAAGGTTAAAAAGAAAACAAATGATTAAATGAGATGAATTTTATTTCTTTTGTGAACTATTTAATTTAACTCTGGATTATCCCCAAATAGCTTGTAACATATGGTTATTTAAAATATAAACAGTTTTCTTGTTTATGATATATACCATTACCATGTTAAAAATGAGTCATGCTGCGATAAGATTTTGCCCATACCGCCCACCACTACCAGGTTTTGCCATATTGTGTCTCAGAGAGATTTATATTCAGAACAGTTATGAAGTAGTTTTCTCCTTTTTTTCCACTCTTTTTGAATCGCCTGCTAAAAATGTAACACAGAACCTTGTTTTTCCCCAATATCACATAAAAGTGCCACTCATGTCCAGTATTCTTCGTGCCAACACACGCAACGACTGTAAAACAAAAGTTATTTTTTACTGTTACTCGGTATGATACAGTTCATATAATTTGATTACTTTGTAATGGATGACTGTTAAACTTTGGTTAATAACTTTGCCATATCCCACATAATGGCAAAACGTTTAGAGGGCACAACATTATCCTTTAGTGTAACTCTCAATTTGGTGTCCTGGGCTGGTCTAAACTTGGAAGCGCACTTTGGGATTTAGACCATAATTTTTCCTTTGTAGGACAGACGAGTTAACCAATGCAAAGTGTATTTTTTCATGGTGAAAGTGACTGTTTTGCCCTCTACTTTTTTTTTTCATTTCCTAATCTTACTGTGCAGATACAGATGACTGACACCTCGCCTCCTTTTTTCCCAGTCTATGTTTGATTTATAATGTTTTCTTGTTGTTTGCAGAAGCAGAAAGCGGTATGCCCTCTTCATAATCTCACCCCTCTACACTTTAGATCAACTGTGGGAGAAAAGCTTAAGGATATTGTACCACCTCCCTCTCAAAAATGGCCAAAATCTCTCGCTATCTCACTTATTGTGATTCTCTTTGTGCTTAATGCACTAACTTCTTTGCAGGCAGAGAGAGTAGTTGCTATTGTTCGATTCACTCGTTTCTTCGTCTGTGCTGTTCACATACCAACACAGCGTTTATCCACTCCATGTTTGTTCATCTCTGGTTTTTGTTCTCAACTTCCTCTCCTTTCCTGTTCATCAGCTGCAAATCATTTCTGCCCGTGTCTTTTTCAGCATTGTGCTCTCCATGCAAACAGTACTTCATGTTTTTTTTTACTTATTTCGTAATGCACCTAATAGGAAAACAGCTGTACTCTAACAGTGCATTATATGTCAGAAAATACTAGTGTTTGTCCATTAATAACTGATGTGTCTCAATATGGCAAGTTTTACTTCACACAGTATTAAACGCTAAACACCGATTGGTTAGTAAAGGCCACACTATTCATGGCGACCATCTTTGCCTTTTCTGTCATTACCACTCTAACACTGTATTGTGTTTGTGTGTCTTTGTGTGTGTCAGAAAGAGTGTGATTTGTGTTTGTGTGTGTGTGTGATGTCTGTCGAGTGCGAGTGTGTGTGACTGAGCGGTCGATCTGTTTGTCAGTGTTTGTCTGGAACAGACGTTGTTCATGTCCCCAAATGCCTGTGCGTCTCTGAGTAGATGTTTATGAAGTGAGGTCACTTCCTGTCAGTTTGGTGTTCTATACAACAATCCAACTGCACAGAAGTTACTGCAACAGTTTGCATCTACGTGCCGCTGTGCGGTGGCTGCACCTGCTCTCTTTTAGATGTTCCCTTGGCTGTGACGCTTTTGGTAACCGCATGCCCGTATGCTCTGTCACGTGATGTGTGATGCTTGCTTTGTTTCCCATAATATGCGGTTTGGTCTGAACGGGAGCCTATGTTTCCATGCAATAGGTCTGTGATCGGCCCATTGCATTAGGCTTCTGTATGGTTTAGTGTCAAACGGTGTGAAAATCTCAAATTTGGGGAGCAATGTGTGTGAATATGTCAGTGAATGAGTCTGTTTGTATTCATCTTCTGAACTGCATGTCAAATGTGCTGCTTCTCGCTAAGGGGGCTATTTAATCAGATGTAAAGCTCAGTGATAAATAATCCAGCACAATGATTTCAAGCAAGACAGAGCGCTTTTGACCTTTTCATTAACTGACCAGCCAACTTCCGCTTTATGATGGATTAAATCCCCCTCTTTTGGCCTTCATTTCTCATGAGGTGGTTATTTGACGAGCCCAGAGGAAAGGATTTTGATAGACTGCATGTATCAAATGGTATTTAAGTGTATGGATTTTTGAGAGCCAATGATGCTGGCCACCATCTCAAGTCTGTGGAATAATAGGATATCTTTCATGTACCTTTCCCTTTCGTCTGGGCTCTCTGGCTTTGACGCTCTAGTCAGGCTGGGCATTTGTCAAGTGTTGCAGCCACCACTCAATTCATTGATGATTCCTAACAACTAGCAACCATTGATGGCTGTGTTGTGTCGTCTCGTCTCGGTCTAATTAATGGGGAATGATACAGTGGTTCAGTAGTGGCTCTGTCTACACTGCTGAACCTCTACATTTGCAAACCAGACTCTCCCAAATATCTGGCAGAAGCTGACATAGAATTCATAAACATCAAAACTTCCTTGCCCACCAAGGGAAGTCACAAAGAGACACTGACAGGGCTAGCTTAGGTTTGACAGCAACTGGTATTTGTTCACAATGGCCTGGGATTGAGCAATCGCTGGGAGCCAAAACTCAGAGCAAAGGTTGCGTTAACCAAAACAAATGTACTGAGTTTGATTCAGAATGCTTTGTCATTTTGACATTAAAAAGAAACAGTAAAGACTTTTACATTGTTGCAAAATGTTTCTATTTCATCAAAAATAAAAATGATCCACAATAATATTATGCAGCAAAAGGTACTCCCAGGTAAAACAAATTGTAATTTAAATAATAAGAAAAAAAATAGCAAGATGATATGACATGCAGTATGTCATATCTGTATATAAAAGTCAGTAAAGTTAAACATGATGAATAAAAATATAAAATAACAAAACTTACAAATCAGTCTGTCAGAGTGACATATACTGATTATTGGTGGCACAACCTCTGCCTTAGTGCTTATTTTTAATTAGGTTACACAACAACAATAATAAAAGTAATAACCATGGCTTATTAGCTGATGCTTCAAATGTAATGGTAACAATATTTATGAAAAGATTTCTGGAATTCTGCTTTCTTGTTTGCGCAGTAGCAACTTCAAGAAAAACTGCATGGCTTGTGTTGGCTTAGTTATTCTGTTGCAGCAGATTCAGAGACCCAGGATGCACCCTGAACTCTTGGTGGGCTGGTCATTCCCTTGCTTTCCACCGCACTAAAGAAGGAATTAAATTGCGCTTCTGTGTGGTGATAGACCTCACACCATGAGTTTCTGAAGGCCTGTCGACCAGAACGCCTAGACTGTTTCTGCCCCAATTTTAATTCTTTCTTTTATCTCATCACCTAAGACCATTCAATCTAAGACCATCATAAAAAATAAAAAAGAATTAAAATGGGCAGGTCATTCTGTTGTGTACTGTACTGTATTTGTGTGAAACCAAGTGGCCTAAGCAGTATTTTTGAATAGGTCCCTTTCCCTGCAGTATTTTATGAGTACAACATTTCAATTTCAGTATCAAGATTTGATGCAGTATATGCATGTTTTCTCATCAGTCTTCTTAACAAGGTCCAAAACCACGTGTACCATTCCTCTTGATTAGAGTGTTTGAATGTGCAAGATTGGTTTTCATGTTAATGACAATGACTCTTTTTCTGACTGAACAGTATTCTGATCAACCCGGGAAATCATGTTAAGATGCAGGAGGGGACACTGGGATTCTTCATCGCCAGTGATGCCAAAGAGGTGAAAAGGTAATCATCTCCTAAATCCATCAAAATGACTTGTGCTCTTGTATTAAATTTTTCATTGTGAAATGTGTAGGGCACACTTGAAGTAGAATGTGCAATTCTTTACTGTCTTCCTTCAGAGCATTTTTCTACTGCAAAGCATGTCATGATGACATCACAGATCCCAAAAGGATTAAAAAGTGTGGCTGCAAGAGAAGTAAGTACATACGACCATCCCTCGCCTCATGTCTGAACGGAAAGTGTCCTCCAACTCTTTTTCACTTTGAAGGGCACTGCTACGTTGTGTAACATGTCAGATATTGCTGTTTCTCTTGGAATGTTGCTTTTTTTTTAAAAGTAAAATAATAGTCTAATGTCAAGCAAAAAAAAAAAGAAAAGAAAAGAAACACTTGCAAGGCAGCAAACAAGTGATGTTTAAAGTTCAGTTTTTTTTTTAAGTTCACAGTTTTGCTTTTCTATTCACATACTATTTGCAAAAATCCATTCACATGTCACATTAAAATTAAGTTGTTAGCAACAATTGTAGTGCTTACACTTCAAAAGAGCCAATCATCTTACAATTTCACCCCCCCCCCCTTCAACTACTTGAATTTGATGGCTCCCATGGCCTTATAGGATAGTGTAAATCAGATGTGCACTGCTGAATCTTAGCAGAAACAGGGTAGTGAGTGAGCGTAGCAGAGTATTTTCACGTACTTTTTGATGAATACTGTGACACACTACTCATTTGATGATAGTCATGTGCTGCTATAACTGATTAGAAACACTACCATTCAAAAAGAGTAAGATTTTTAAAGAAATGAATGCTTTTATTCAGAAAATACCCATTCAACTATAGTTTACTGTAATCAAAAGTGACTTACAGTACATGGGAACAAAAACTTTCTATTCATTAAATAATCCTTGAAAAAACATAAATTTCTACAAAAATATTAAGTAGCAAAATATTTTCAACACTGATAATAAGAAGAAATGTTTGTTGTTCAATGGATCAGCATATTAGAATGATTTCATGAAGGATCACGTGACACTAAAGACTGGAGTAATGGCTGCTAAAAATTCAGCTTTGCCACCACAGTAACAAATTACAATTTAAAATATATTGAAATATATTAAAACAGGTGTTTTAAATTGTACTTGTATTTCACAATGTTACTGTTGTAACTTTATTTTTATACAAATAAATGTAGCCTCATTGAGCATAAGAGACTTCTTTCAAAACATAAAAAAATCCCACTGACTCCAAACTTTTGGACGGAAGTGTAAAAAAAATGAGACCAATTGCAATTCAGTATGCACATGGATGTAATGGAGGTAACTGATCGCAATTCAGTATGAAAATACAATGATGTGATACCACAGTTGTTTACATTTTGAATGATGTTCAGCTGTCAGTGGAAGATTTTCACACTTAAATCTTAAATTTATTAAAGGGATAGTTCACCCAAAAATGAAAATTATGTCATTAATTACTGTCCCTCAAGTCGTTCCAAACCTGTAAGACCTTCGTTCATCTTCGGAACACAAATGAAGATATTTTTGATGAAATCTGAGAGCTTTCTGATCCTGCATAGAGAACAGAGTATCTAAAATGTTCCCAGATCCAGAAAGGTAGTAAGAACATCGGTAAAACAGTCCATGTGACATCAGTGGTTCAACCGTAATTTTACGAAGCTACGAGAACACTTAAAGAAAACAAAAATAACAACTTTATTCAGTAATTCTTCTCCTCCAAATCACGTCTTCCGCCATTATCGAGAGTACCTCTGCACGTAAAAATGACGTAGAACACGCATGCGCTGATCCTTGTTTACGTGCAGAGGAGAGCAATGCTCATGCGTCATGGTACTCTCGATAATGGCGGAAGACGTGATTTGGAGGAGAAGAATTACTGAATAAAGTTGTTATTTTTGTTTTCTTTAAGTGTTCTAGTTGAACCACTGATGTCACATGAACTGTTTTACCGATGGTCTTACTACCTTTCTGGGTCTGGGAACATTTGAGATACTTTGTTCTCTATGCAGGATCAGAAAGCTCTCGGATTTCATCAAAAATATCTTAATTTGTGCAAAAAAAAAAAAGTCATGTCTAAGACCATAATTATCTACAAAACACGTTGCTGCCTTTTAATCACTATAAAAAGACAACCATACTAAAAATTAGTAGAGCCCCTAGGGTGTTCTTTTTCACTTTGAGAACAGCTATATGAAAGAATAAGCAGAAAGCAATGAACTGTAGAAACTAGTGACTCCATCTAAAACAGACTAGCTTCAAACTAGAGCCCTAGAAAAGTAGGGATAAAGATGGTGAAAGAGTGAGACTCTTGAGGAAAGCCAGTCATCAGCATGCTAATGGTGGAGAAGAGATACAGATGTAGAGAGGGAATGACGTGATTAGCAGGGCTGAAGAGAGAGGCTGTCAGCTCATGGTGGTGTCAGTATGAGAGAGGCGGAGGTAATGACACTAGTCAGGTGGAAAAACAAAAGACAAGAGCAGCTTGGCCCATCCTTGCCAGACACACCGAAAACACACTCCTGGCTCAGGATCATTTTACCAATCATATCCACCCTGTTTACCCAGAACGCCCAGCGCAGTGTTGTTTGGATGCGCCACTGTCATGTCCCACTGCCTCAGCCCAGTTAAAACACTTTCTGACAGGAAGTCGTGGAAGTAGAAGAGAGATTAATAGCTCAGAGTGCAGTCCACTGTCAGAGAAGCTCCTGCAGACATTTATATCATTTGATAGAAATGTATTTCCTTAAACACCCTTTTAATTATATATAGATGCGGCAACACCTAAAACATTTGCTAATCTTGGCTTGGTGGAATGAAGCAATATTTATGTTAAATAGAGCGTACATTAACATTAATGTTGGAATGATGCATTGTTGTTACATGACCTATATAAGCATTTGTCCAAACCAGTTAGCCACAAGATGAATAATTCAGCTTCATTCCCAGTGACCTTTCACTGTGCACACTTAAACAGTTGCCTTTAACTGCAAACCCTTGCTTATTTATTTTTGTTTACATTCATTTAATTATTTGAAAATTATATATGATGTTTCAGATGATGCACTGTTTGATAACACACAGACTGCCAATTTTGCTCACCAAGGCTGCATTAGTTTGTTCAAAAATACAGTAAAAAAACAGTAATATTGTGAAATTGTATTGCAATTTAAGATAGCTGTTTTCTGTTTGAATATATTTTAAATGTATTTATTCCTATGATGGCACAGCTGAAATTTCAGCATCATTAATTCAGTCTTAAGTGTCACATGATCCTTCAGAAATCATTCTGATTTGCTGCTCAAAAAAAAAAAAAACTTATCAATGTTGAAAACATTTATGCTGCTTAATATTTTTATGGAAACTGTGATGCTTTTTTCTAAGAATTTTTCAAGATTCTTAAAAAGCAGTGTATGTTTGAAAGATTTTTTACATTTATTATTATTTTTTAATAATAAAAACATTTATTATTTATTTTTACAATTTAACAGTCTTTTCTGTCATTTGATCAATTTAAATTGAATGCTTTTCTTGCTGAATAAAAGGATTCATTTCTCTATCCCCCCCCAAAAAAAAAAAAAAACTTTTACACAGAGGATAAACTTTTTAAAAAAAAATGTTGCTCTCTTTTGTTTTCACCCCAATCAAATGTTTTTTTGATTATTTGCACCCTCCCAAAACCGAATGTCACCTGAAAAGAGGCCAGTAGCCTTACAGTAAAGAAGATGAGGTTTCCATTGATTTAATGGAAGTTTGTGTTCTTTTATTTCACCCTCTTTTTGATCATTGACATACTTCTTGATGTATTTCCTTCCTTGCTGCCTTGGAATACCTCCTCTTTATTTAAACCTCTCACTGATAGTGACATATTGTGAGTAAAAACGGGTTTCCTGTGGCCAGAGTACAGTCTGACTGTCTCACTCTGATAATAGTTCTATATATATATATCTATATATATGTTGCATGTATCAGTCTAGCTGCTGCATCCCTCCTACACCTCATCTCTCCACTGTCCTCAGCCCAAAACAATACAGCAGAATTTACTGGCCTGAAAATGACACAGCCCTGACCCCTACAAACCAGTCTTTAACAGGAGAGAACAATAAGGCCATGACCAATAACACAATTCCTCCCAAAGATTTACTAACAGCACAATTCTGAAATCAGAGATCCGTTTCAAAGGTTGTTTGACCCTCCCGAAACTCAACGAAAGCCGAAATGAATGTCATGACAATCTAAAAAGTCAAACAAGCCGATTGATTTTGCTACTATTAGTCATGGACTTCACGAGTGCCAAGGGGGGGTTAAGTCCACTCGAATCCGTCCCCTCGCTGTCAGAGGCAATTTTGCATGCTGCTGTATTTTCAGAGAGCGGAAAGAGTTCTGTGGGAAGTTCTTCAAATTCTTAGGCTTAACGAGCATCGTCTCCAAAACACAATCAAAACAATCTGGTCTCCCTCTTGCCTACAGCCTCCCCTTTGTCTTCACCACCCGGCCCCTGCCCAGCCTCTCTACATGACACAACAACCATCGGCAGAATTGAAATGTTCTGCATTTCAATTCCTTTCAGTAGTTGGGCCCTTTTTTACTCCCTGCTCTCACTGATAGGTGCATCTCTCAGCGTTAGGCTCACGGTGGTGTTGACCTTTGCTGTACACCACGTTGGCCAGTAGATGCCACTGTAGTTCTACAAATGAGATCGGGACAGAATGGGAACACTGAGGTCCTCGTAAACCTATTTAGTAAGATTGCTATCAGCCAATGTGCAATGTAGGGTCTTCTCACTTGTCACCTAGGTTTCTTTATGTAGGTCTCCCAAGGAGCCAGGTCGTTGTTCACTTTATATTGGTTTAGAGATGGAGGCGTGTTTGTTTTAAGTATTTTAAGCATGCAAAGCTTCACTGTATCTAATATTACTCCTTATTGTAAGTCTAAGCTCAAAGTAGGCTATAATGTGCACAAGTAAAGCTTGCAGATATGTTCCTGTCCATTAGTACTTTAACATACGATGCAGCCTGCTTTGAATTATGGGAAGTAAGTAGGGTGAGGACAGATGTTAGGGGTGCTGAGAGCATTCTTGCTAAATCGGGTTGTCCTGTTAAAGAGGCTTCAGTAATTAGGCTCTCTGTGTAGTCATGTTCAGCCACTCACATCATCACGTTGTCTTGTGTCTCTTCCGCCCTCCATGTCTCACTGACTAACATAACCACATACTATGTGCTCCGATGAATGTCAACCCTCAAACTCTGAAGCGACAGATTTCAGCATGAAATTAAGTAGAAGCCCCGCTGCTGCATGTTTTTGCATTGCCTTAATCTGTTTCAGCCCCGTAAACAGTCGACCGGGCTGCCGTTTCAAGAGATACGAACGCGGTCGCCTCCCTCTTCATGCCTGTTCTCCTTAATTTCAGCTGTTCTGCATGGTTCTATACGAATAACAGTCCCTGAGGTTATGGCTCTAAAGGCCAAGTCATTTACCGTATTATCTTTCCAGCATACAACTGAAATTGGCCTCTTAATTCGGGCTCGTAACCTCAGATGGAAGTCAAAAGCAGGCTTTTCCCTGTGGATTGTTTGCTCTTTTGAGGGTGCCAGACTTGATTATGGTCCGTTAGCGAGGTGGCACCGGGAGAATGCATACCAAGGACTGTTTTTAGTCCGATTCACAGCAATCAAATGCTGCTATAGTCTCTCACCACAGCTCCTTTGAGAACCGAGAAAAAAAAACACTCCACGTACTGTATGTCTGAATCAAATGCGCAATGCATGTGAAAGCATCTTCTAATCAGGGACCGAAGAAATAGCCTATTGGCATGTTACCACACAAATCTCCCAACCAATCCCTGATTGAGCAGAGTTTGACTAACAGAATAAAGCACCTATGTTGGAGCCTGTAGCACGTTGTGATGCCAATAACCTGCTGCTGCATGATGGGATACAGGTACGTGATCCTCTCTTTTTGATACAGAGGATGTTATCCAAAGAGGTTTTGCTGCTGAACACATTCACCCATTCCTCTCTGCCTGAATGTCCCTTGCCCCAACCCCTGATCATATTGTCATATCTGACCTTTTGACCTTTTATGACATGATCAGCCTTAGGGCACGACTTGACCCCAATGAGACTACTGCTTCCCGCCTAAACAAGCCGTCTGTTAGATGTTTTCAAAGTCCGATTTGGTACGAATCTTCAAATTCGGATCGAACTTCACTTCTGCAGTGTGAACGGAACCAAAAGCGAATCAGAAGCGTATTTCAAGCGGGAGCGCAGCGGTCCATCTGCGGGTCAAGTCTGTCAGAGCTTGCTGCTAAGGCATTGCACTTTTTGTTCCTGTTTGAAAAAGTTACCTTCAGACTTCCCTGGTTGAAAAGCTCTTTTGATCCTTGCCATTAACCTGCTGCTTTCCTCTCCTCTCATCCAACACATGACTGTAGCCAAGATGTCCGTCTACAAGCGAATGAAACTGGCATGTTGTTTTGATTGCGGGCACTCTGAGCGCGACTGCTCGTGCATGTCAGGCAGTGTACATAGTAACATGGACAGTCTTCAGAGGGCCTTCCCACTTTCTTCTGTCTCTGTTCATGATTGCTCAACCAGTTTACGTGCCTGTAAGTTCGATCGCCAAACCACATGCCGTTCGGTGTCCGTTACCTGTGAGTGTGCGTGTCCGTAAGTGCGTGCGTGTCTGTGCCGTGTTTCATGTGCCATGTCTGTTCCGTTCCTCCATTATTTCCGTATATGTGGCTTATTGGTTGGTACATTAGTACATATTCTTTTTCGTTTGGTGAATTGGTGGTAGTTGAAGTGACGTGGCTTCTCTGTGTTAGTGCTGCAGTAGGTGCCGTAGGACTGTGTTGGCGCATGCTGTGTCAGTGGAGCACTTGTGCGGTGCTTGTGACCTTTTTGCAGTCACTGTTTTTGGTGTTTACACTTTTACATGGCAGGTGTACATGTATCTGTTATATAACTATATGATGTGCTTTTAATCGAAACATCTCTGGGCTAATTGACACTAATGATGTTTTGACAATGTTTTCATGTTCGTGTGACTTTTGAAGACCTACAACAGATTAAGGAAGATGCAATCAAATGGCTAACTGTTTTTCCCCCCCCAGGTTCAAACACTGGATACCAACAATCCTTTGGTCTTTGAATTTTGAATGTGCTCCAAAGCCATCTCGCCCAGTTTAAAATGTTAGAAACACTGCTCACTGCTTAAGATCCCTTTTGACTTTATTTGTTCACTGAGCAAAATTGAAAGGATATCAGTAAATGAAAAAAACAGTCAAACTATATATGTCCATTATTTACTAAAATCATGTTTAATTTGCATGCCAAATGCTAGATTGTGATTGAAAGGGATCTTTAGTGAGATTCTTCTGTTCATAGAGTGAGTATATAATTGCAATGTCTTTTCTGCTATTCTTGGACAATCATGTTTTACAACCGCAAGCCATTAATGCCTCCACCATTTCCACTGGCTGAAATAAAACCTCTTCCTTCAGCGAAGTCCACATTTAAGTGCAATTGAAAAAACACGTCAAACTCTCCCCCTTTCCACAGGATCTGATCCTCGATGATTTTCTCTTAGCCAGCAATCAGGGGAGAAAAGTCAATGTGCTTTATTTAATGCCTTGTATACCACAGTGGGACTGTCAGACTCAATGGGAAAGTTAAAAAGAGATCTCCTGACAGGAACTCAGTTGAGATGGCGGTGACTCAGGCTATTGGATGAGGTCAGATGACTGAAGCAGTTAGTTGTGTAAAGGACAGTGTCGAACAGGGGTCTTCTCATTAAGCCGTAGCAGATGTGAAATACTAAAGCGTCTGTCAATTAGGAATGGCAGTGGTGCGACCTACTATAAAAGCAGGGGTCAGTTCAGGCGATCGCATTTCCTCTACAACTGCCTTCCGACTGTTCACCACATCAGCTTAGATTAGCATCAAACCCTATGAGGACGTTGACTTTGAGTCTTGTGTTTTGGTCTGTGGTGATATCCCTGGATACCAGTTACTGGTCATTACGTAGTTACTGATCTCTTCACGTAGCATCATCCTTTGTTGGTTTTCGCTGCTGCCGGTTTTTTCTGAATTGAGTGCATTTTCGCCAAGGCTGACAGCTAATGCCAGCTGCGGCTTTGTTTTGACTCCCTCCCATCGATTTCGTCTCAGATCTAGCATTACATCTTTATGATGAAGAATTCACAGAGTTCGTCCATCTGACTTTGATTTCGCCCAGTCAATAATGATTTTCTGATGAAATTCTCCGAGCCCGTCATCACGTTATTGACCCTGTTCTGAATATTTGCTAACCAGTGTTTGTCTCTAGTTCGGCATGCGTCTGCCTAACTAAGTACCCTCTGCTCCTGTTTAAATAAAAGCAGCAATTGCTACGATTCTATACACAATCACTTGAAGTTCACGTTTTATTAAATAAAATTATTTTAATTGATTAATTACAATATATATTTAATTTATATTTATTTACTACATTCACTTTATATTTTATTTAGTGTTAATGCATTTAAATGATATATATAT